TAACGGCGAAGCCGTTGGGCAAATAAATCGGGGGCCTATGGTACAGGTGAGGGGCCTATGGTACAGGCTCGTCTCGAACAACTCGAAGCCATAGGTGTAACGTCTGCTTTCTAGATAAAATGGATTGGAAATTCGGTGCGAAGCCTTTTGGAAGAATCTTTTGCACGCCTTGCAGCCTTGCACGTGATGACTATGCGCCAAGTTGCTCGGGGCATGGTTCGACCCCACAATTATCCTGGCCACAACTTAAAGCAAATTTGACAGTGCTCAGCTGTCGCAGCTTCAGCTTATTCGATTCGACGGTCGAAGAGTTAGCTTTGCCTGCGGGCTCCATCCTTGGCGATAGACCTCCAAAGTCGATCCTGATTCACGCAAAACATGAACACGATGACTGTCAAATAAGCTCGGTGAATGCATGTACATCATGTGAACACCTAACACCTTCTTTTTATTGGGTGAACTCCTCACAATGCAATCTCCTGGAGCAGTGTGTCTGTGTCTCATCACTGCATCTCTACGCGACGCCACTCACATTGGTGTGGCTCAAGTGTGACAGTAAAACTGTGGGTGTGTAGCAGCGTAGCATGCGTATCGGTAATATGTGCGTCAAACGTTCACACGTCGCGAACGAGAATCAACGGCACGAGGTCATGTGTTCGTGCGCCTGTCAACAGGCTCCCCAGGAATCCGGTATTGCACAAAAGGAATCACTACGCACAAAAGAACATGATACGGGCTAGCGGCTAGCATGCAAAAGAACAAAGACTAAGTGACTACCGGATGATATGTGGTTGCTTTCACATAACAACAAAGGAGCCTTGCCCTTCCAATGATCCCAATGATGAGACTCTTTTATCCGGAATCGCCTTCTTGGGTGGCAAAAGGAAAGCAAGAAAAGTTTGTCTGACTCACTCACTTACAAGTCAGATTTCCTGGCGAGACTGGAAACTTGCGGGTTGGAAGCATCGACCCCAAACAACACGCCTGTACAGTAGAAGCGCTCTCGCAAATCTTCCATGATCTTGACCTCAACACGGAGCGTTTCCGAAACGGTTTCCGAAAAGGACACAGCTGTCATGCCTCCCTATCCAGCTGCGCATGCAAATCCAAGTCCTGCCAGCAGGGCAGTCTTGCGGTGACCCCAAACTGTGCGCAATTGCAGTGTGTTGGCCGTTTGTCAAGTGCAACCTTTGACGAGCACGAGCAACTGGCAAGATCCTTTATTGTTGGGACATGCCTTTCGACATGACTGATCTACATTCCAAGATGCCCTCGGCCAAGATCTAAGATGATCCCTTGTGAACCCGCACGTGCCTTGTACTTTTCAAGGATGGCCGCACTTCCGAAGCCAAAGTGGATCTGACAACGGCGATGAACGGCGTGTGTGGTGTCGTGTCTCCCGTCCCGTTCTCCTCCATGTCCAGCGTTCTGATCTTGTCCCATTCCTCCGGATGGCCGATCAGCCTCAAGTGCACGGCCGAGCATCTGAACTTGGCAACAAAATAGTGAACTCATCTTATTGTCTTATTTTCTTCAGAAAATAGTTTTTTTGAACTACCTTTTCTTCAAAACAATTCTCATGGCAAGTTGTTGCAAAAATGACGAATCATGCTTCAAGTGCTTCAGTATGCTGATAAAGTACGCAAAACCAGCCACAACAAGTGCGGCAACTCCGACTGAATCGCTACTGTACGAAACCCAAATGGAAGCAGTACGATGCATTGGGGTGAGCAGCTGTCCCCCGTCAGGTGCAAACAAATAAAAGGCACCTACTAGCGATGGCCTCCGATGGCCTCCAACCTAATAGCCCCCTTAAACATTGCACTAGACTATGCACTACTCTCACCGTGACGGGTCTGCACACGCGCGCTTAATTCTAAATAAATCTAAATTAATAGCTTCTTGTTACTACTAGTAAGGCACTTGTTTCTAGTAGAATTACGGCATGTGGGAGCGGAAATCTTATGGCAATTTGGAGGAGTCCCAAACGGGTGCCTCGTCTACAATTCTCGGATACAGTATATGTTTTTTTTTTTGTGCTCCTGTGGTTGAGGACACGCATGAATTCACTAAACACTCAACTCAACCCCCGAGAGCCCAAGATCTCATCAGGCTCCTCCGAGAGTGCACTCTGCACGTGAAGGTTAACGCAATTTTGCCCTTTTTGAACGCCAGAACTCTGGCCGGTCGAGGTGACATGAACCAACTTTTGATTGACCGCTGGGACTTGATGAGGGCCAAGAGTAAACCCTGAAACATCTGATTTCCCTTCCGAAATCTTGCTGAGCACACTGTTGGAATGTCTATCATTACATCTGGTTTTGATTGCAGTTTCTACCAAATAGGCTTTTGTCAGGAAGGGGGATGGAAGCTGTGGAACATCAATTTGTCTCACGTTCTATCTTTTTATTCTCTGCTTATTTTCTATGACATGTTCATTCAGTTCTCAATTCGAATCATGCAGTCTCGTGGGTCAGACTCCTCCCAGTCCTCCCATTCTTTTCGCTCAAAAATGCTCAATGGGACTGTGCACCGAGATGCAACACAAACCATTCTGAAGAAATTCTGACCATTCTTCTGACAGCTCTTTGATGCTCTTTGAGCCTTCACTCCAGCATCTCAGCTCCATTTGGAGCTCAGCACAGCGATGTAACATGAAGCAGGGTCCCGGGCTAAACAGGGTGTCAACAGGAAAGCTTTCATGTTGCTAGCGACGAGCGACAAAAACTTCTTTTTTAGCCATACTATGCTACTAGTAAGGCACTTGTTACTAGAAGCGATGCACTTGTTCCTAGT